CTCAGTGGTTAGAGCATCTGCCTGGGCACTGGAGAGTCTTGGGTTCGATTCCAGACGAGGGCACGTACCAGGGTTGCAGGTCTGATCCCCACCCCAGGTCGGGGTGCATCGGGGTGCGTGTGGGAGGCAACAATCGATATGTCTCTCTCTCATCAGTGTTTCCCTCTCTTCTCTCTCTTTCCCCCTCCTCCCTCCCTTCCACTCTCTCTTAAAAAAAAAATGGGAAAAATATACTCATTCCAGCCCTAGCTGGTTTGGCTCAATGGATAGAGCGTCGGCCTGCGGACTGAAGGGTTCCGAGTTCAATTCCAGCCAAGGGCACATGCCTGGATTGCAGGCTCGATTTCCAGTGAGGGGCGTGCAGGAGGCAGACGATCAATGATTCTCTCATCATTGATGTTTCTATCTCTCTATCCCTCTCCCTTCCTCTCTGAAATGAATAAAAAAAGAAAAGAATGATAACTTTATAAAAAAAAATACTCATTCCAAAAACGACAACAATAAAAAACTTTAATGATTTGAACCCGTCGGAGAACTTAGCAGGAAACGTTGAAGAATCATATAATTTATCAAAGTACATTTAGGAACTTGAATTGGGAGGGGGGGAGTGTGGAGCCGAGCTTAGATGATCATGAATGAAGACAGTTATTTAACAAACGTTCATCGAGACTCTGCTATGCGACAGGTTTTGTTCGAGATGCTGAACAGACACGTATGCATCACGATGAGGAGGACACGTACGAAGCCCTTCTACGGACCAGGCCCTGAGCAAGCGCTCTAGGTATGTGGGCTCATTTGATCCACCCGCCACAACCTTGTGAGCTACTATTATTTCCTCCACTTTACAAATGCAGAGATGAAGCTTCTGGCAGGTAATCAGGCCCGGTCAGCATGGCTCCGTGGTGGAGCACTGACCTATGAACCAGGAGGTCACAGTTGGATTCCCGGTCAGGGCACATGCCCAGGTTGCGGGCTCGATCCCCAGTGTGGGGCATGCAGGAAGCAGCCAATCCATGACTCTCTCTCATCATGGATGTTTCTATCTCTCTCTTCCTCGTCCTTCTTCTCTGAAATCAATAAAAAAATATTTTTAAAAATAAAGAAAAAGTGAGCCTGGGCTGTTGAAGGATCAACATGGAGGTCATGGGCAAGACTAGGTGGGAGCTACTGCAAGAAAACAGGCAAGAGATCATGGTGGCCTGGGCCACAGTGACGAGAACTGGTCCATTTCTGGAGAAGTCATGACGGTAGAGCCAACATTTGCTGATGGTCCGGTTACAGAGTGCAGGGCAAGCGTATCAAACTCAAAGGCCAGCACAGGCCAAACGAACGAGGCATGCGGCCCGTGGGCCGAGAGTTTGACATGCTTGGCGTAAGGGGAGAGGGTCAAAGAGAATCCTAGAACTTGTGGCCAGGCGAGCACCTGGAAGGATGGAGTCCAATACATTTCTTTTTCACTTTCCTAGGTCCTCACCCACAAACCCCACTGGGATTTCTGTCACTGTGCACAGCCTCCTCACTCGGTGGAAGAAGTTTGGAAAGCACTGGTATTCCAAAGAGCACATTTAAAGCTGCTTGGGGTTTTGCTTGTCTGAAATCTGCATGTGCCACGCCCTTCTGTGACCTGGCAACCTTGAAACGATGATGGTGGGAAATTTACTCTTTTTTTCGGGGATCCATTAAGACGCCTTTCAGAAGACGGAAACGCCGTGTATTTTAACTATACTGGATACACTCTGAATATTTAAGCATGCTGAGATTCTGTTTAGTGTAACTCTGGCGTGTAGACTGGTTGGCTGGATGCTAAGGAACACACACTTTCTTAGAGAAAAGCAGCGTTCCTGGCTTGTAATGTAGGGCATAAACAAACTCATGCTTGATCAGCTATGTGCGCTTTTGCCAATATATCAATGCAATTATTATTTTTTCAAATATATTTTTATTGACTTTTTACAGGGAGGAAGGAAGAGGGATAGAGCGTTAGAAACATCGATGAGAGAGAAACATCAATCAGCTGCCTCTTGCACGCCCCCTACTGGGAATCGAGCCTGCAACCAAGGTACATGCCCTCGACCCAAATTGAACCCGGGACCTTTTAGTCCACGGCCCAACGATCTATCCACTGAGCCAAACCGGTCAGGGCTCAATGCAAATTATTCAGGGGTAGGGAGCGTCCGGCCCTTGGACCATATAAGGCCGACGAAATCATTTGTTCTGGCCCTGCCAAGGCATTAGGGGTGAGTTAATGAAAGGTTTAACCAAATATAGCAGGCTAATACTTAAGTTGATAATTTTGTATGGCCTGCAAAGGATGTTATAAATATCCAAAAGGCCCTGGGCAGAAAAAAAGGTTCCCCACCCCTGATTAAGTCATCAGTTCAAACTTTCACATGAATTTCATTTCTTCTGATTTCACTTACTAGTTCAAAAAGAGGACGGATTAAATAGAGTGAAAACATACGAGCAGTGACTACTAGCTTCATGGTGAGCCGGCATTCAATGAGAACAAGGCACTCTGATTTTATCTGAAACACGGGCCTGTTCCTTTCGTATTAAAATAACTGTGGTATTTGAGTTCAGAGCCAATAGTCTGGTCTCAGGACAAAAATATGCCTTTCTTTGGCGTTGACAGATCATGAAGCATCCATCCTAACCGTTTCAACACAGAGAACAGCTTTCTCTCTTGTCCGTAAACAGCCTGCATTGCCTTCAATTAGGCAAATTAATTTAGATTTCTATCCCAAACGGTATCCAGTACCATATACTCATTTCATCAGAGAAATGACCAGTTCTGACTGTGGATTGCTTACTTTTGCATTGGAGAGTGCAGCAAAGTGAACATTTACAATATGACAAGGGAGCCCTGGCTGGTGTGGCTCAGGGGGCTGGAGCGTCGTCCTGTACACCCGAAGGTGGCAGAGGTTCGATTCCCAGTCAGGGCACACGCCTGGTTGTGTGTTCAGTCCCTGGTCAGGGCATGTAGAGAGGCAACTGATTGATGTCTCTTTCTCTCTCTCTCTCTCTCTCTCTCTCTCTCAAAATCAATAAACATATCCTCGGGTGAGGATAAGGAATTAATTTAAATATGATCAAAGAAGCACTCTCACGTAACTACCTCTAAACAGATGCCTCCTGACTGCCAGGCTGCTTTCTCCACTGGGCTGCCGACCTGCCTGTCTAGCGGCTCCTGGACTCCACGAATGCCAAACGGAACGCATCTTCTGCCTCGCGCGGCCCCTATTCTTGTGCTCCGTACACATCTATTAATAACACCTTCACCCACCTGGTCCACCAGGTTAAGCACGTGAATCACCCTGGACCCCTCTCTCTCCTCCGCTTCCTACATCCAATCCGCTGCCAGGTGCTGCCCACGGAACAGCTTCGCAACTGTCTTCCCTGCATCTCCTCTCCCCCCTTTCCGCTCTGCCAGACTTCCCTTCCTAAAGCTCAGACTTACGCTACTACTTGTCTAAAAGCTTTACACGCTTCCTCCCATTTCCTATGGAACAGCCCAGACGCCTTAGAATAATAGCACCCAAGTCTTTCCATACTTTGGCTCTGGCTTCCCCACTACCCCTTGTTGTGACGATACCCAGGCCTTCATTTATGGAGGTGACTGAGTGGTGATCCCTGGAAGCTTGACTGCTCATCGTTGCCCAGAGGAGACCATGGCCCAGAACCCTTCAAGTGGTTTCTCGGGGAGGGAGTGGACGAGGCAGAGTAGGCAAGTGGGAGCAGGCTAAGGACTGCAGGGTTTAAATCAGGGGTGGGCAAACTTTTTGACTCGAGGGCCACAATGGGTTCTTAAACTGGACCGGAGGGCCGGAACAAAAGCATGGATGGAGTGTTTGTGTGAACTAATGTAAATTCAAAGTAAACATCATTACATAAAAGGGTACGGTCTTTTTTTTTTTAGTTTTATTCATTTCAAACGGGCCAGATCCGGCCCGCGGGCCGTAGTTTGCCCACGGCTGGTTTAAATAATGTCGGTGGACTCTGGGTGGTAAAGGTGGTCTCCTATTGTCCAGTATGTGACCTTGGGACCTTGATTTAGGGCAAGGGAACCAGTGTGAGACTTGGATAAAGGAAGTGGTTGAGACTATGGGCTTTGGGTCGGTGGGTGTGAATATGAAAGGCGTATTCGCAGGCAAGGTGCTTGTTACTCTACGAATTAGCTCATCCAGGGAGGGACAGTCCATCCTTAGGGTCCCACGGCTCCGAGATGCCAGAGATACAAAACAGAAAAAAATGTGAAGACATTAATACACATCTCCCTTCCCAGGAACCCTTTGCCCACAGTTCTGGTAGCCCCAGAAAAATGCCCTTTCGTAGGAAAAAAAAGTTCAGTAGCGCATCGCTCAGCATGCTGCCACCACCCACAGCCCTGACTGAGCAGCACCCCATGGCCCCTTCCCCGCCCCCACCAGACCTGGGATGGTACCTGCCAGGTCCCCAGCCTACAGGCTGGCAAACTATGACCCCTGTGGTCTGCCTCACAACGAGGAGCTGAACCAACCAGGTTTCCTCCTTTAAGGGTTTGCATTAAGAGCCACACAAGGAGGCTGCCCGTTTTTTCACGCAGCCAGATCCACAGAGATGCACAGTGACAAACCGGTCGGTAGGGCTGCTCGGGCCAGGCCTGGGATGGGGGCTCCAGGCCGCCTTTCTTTAAGCCCACACACGTGTAAAGTGTTTTTCATTTCATAAACGCACTTACAGGACCACATAAACGCAACCTAGTGCAACTGCATCCTGCAGCTTTAACAGGCATTCCCAGCTTCTGCTAGAGATGGGCTACACTCGGCGAGAAAACCTCCAGGGGACCCTCTCCCAGCGCCCCCGCCCCGCTCCCCGCCCTGCACGAGACCTTATCGATTGCTCCTGCCTGGCCCGCCCCGCCCCGCCCCGCCCTAGACCTTATCGATTGCTCCTGCCTGGCCCGCCCCGCCCCGCCCCGCCCTAGACCTTATCGATTGCTCCTGCCTAGGCCGGCCCGCCCGATCAACTGCTCCTGCCTGGCCCGCCCCGAACGCGGGAGAAGAGTGAGCGGGAAGACAGTTTCGACCCGGCTCGGCGGCCGTAGCGACCCATTCAACCCCCACAATCCCGACCGGCCTCCGCTTCCTCCTGCTTTTGCACCCCTGACTCCCTGAGGTCTCCCGAATCACACAAGAGGAAACAAAGCAGCTCACGCCGCCGCCATGTCCGAGGCTTATTTCCGGGTGGAGTCGGGTGCGCTGGGCCATGAGGAGAACTTTCTTTCCTTGGACGACATCTTGATGTCCCACGAGAAGCTCCCGGTGCGCACAGAAATTCCCATTCCACGCCTCGGCGCCTTCTTCCCGGAGCGGAGCGGTGGGGCCGACACCGACAACACCATCCCTCAGGTAAGCTCCCGGGCTCGGCGCTGCGCGGAAAGACTACAATTCCCAGTGTGCCTTGCGACCCTGGGGCTTCGCGTATCTGTGGGCGCGCTGTCCTCTGGGATTTGTAGTTTTAGGGGCAGACTGGGGTCATCTCGCCAAGCAGTTTATCCGCGGGTCGCGGTGCACTGCGGTGGTCTCCTCACCTAGCTGGGGCCACTTGTACGGAAACTAAATTTATCCCAGGTCGTCAGCCTCCGTCCTCCAACACGGATTTCATTTTTGAAACTACAAATTCAGCAGTGTTTTTCCCCCCCTCTCTCTCCCTTACCCTCAACATGCCTTAGGATTGGCTCCTACAGAAAACAACAGCTTTGGGTTCTGTAAGAGCGTGTAATGCGTCTGGGACCCACGAATTGCTAGATTCATCCCTGCATCATGATGATGATGTCAGCAACCATTGACTGAGGGCTTTGGTGCCAACATGCATGGGGTGGGGAGAGTGTACTTTTCCATTTATTAGCTCCTTCATTCTTCAACAACCTTGTAACTAGGCATTGTCACATACAAGGAAACTGAAGCCCAGAGACGTTTGGTAGCTTGGCCAGGGCCCCACTGTAGGCGGTGAGCTGGGATTCGCACCTGGGGCTATATGACTTCACATACAAGTGTGTCCCAAAGAGAACAGGCAATATTGCTCATGCAATGCGAATTTTCCTTTTTGCCACACACACATTGACTTTATCATTGTTCTTCAATCCTGTCTGATGCAGGGCTCAAAGCTGGAACTCCCCTTGTGGCTGGCAAAAGGACTTTTTGACAACAAGCGGCGGATCCTCTCTGTGGACCTTCCCAAGATCTACCGAGAGGGTTGGAGGACTGTGTTCAGCGCAGATGCCAACGTGGTGGACCTCCACAAAATGGGGCCCCATTTCTACGGGTTTGGCTCCCAGCTCCTGCATTTTGACAGCCCAGAGAATACAGACATTTCCCAGTCTCTCCTCCAGGCAAGTAATTCATGTGGAAACCTATGGCACCGCACATGCCTCAGGAGCCAGCTTTGGCTGCCACCAGACATCACTCTTACCCAGGGAAACTTATGACATATACAATTAGTGTGTTATTATTCTAGGCCAGCCAACAGTTAGACTGCATTTGCCAACTACACACACACACACACTTAAATAGGACTTGTCTACTGTTATTCATTTTTGCTTGCTAAGAGTTGGGAGCAGCAGAAAGTCCTGGAAAGAAGAGGTGATGGTTGTATGCAGGCATCAGGCACTTAAATACACAGTCCCAGCCCAGCCCAGGACCGGTCTGAGGGTTCCTGTCGGAAATACACGTGGTATTTGGTTATTTGTTCCCTTTCCTTGCTTTGAGGTTAAGACCTGGCTTTGCTACGTACGTGACCTGGTCAAGCTACTTGACCTCTTTAGGCATCAACTCTTCACCTGTAAAAGGAGATAATAATAGTGTCAAAACTATAGAATCATAGTGAGCGTATGTGAAGCCATTTAATGTATGGTAACTATTACCACTGTCCATGGACAAAACAGTGTTATGTATATAACATCCTTTATGCTGGAATAACCTTACTTTAAATTTCATAATGACTTTTCATTCTGTTAAAACTAGAAGAACTCATCCTTTCTACCTGTTTTTTTACTTCCTCATTTCTTGCTTAATAAGAACACACTTGTCACCTGGGCTGTGCTGACACCCTGTATCGGGCGTCAGGGTTATTTGGCCTGACGCTTACCAGTGCTGTTTCTAACGTGATAGTTAAAAAAGAAAAAAAAAGCCATTGCCATCCACTCAGAAAAAGAAGCCAATGCGCAGACTGTAGACAGTTTGAGCTTATGAAGCTCTTCTAAGCAGACATCATTTGTCTTATAACGTTGCCAGGACATGTTCTTGAATGGGAACGCTGCCCTTCTTAAGTGAGTTACCTGTTGTCTTTCTCCATCTCTGTTTTGAAGTGCTGTAGACTGGAGTTGCTCACAGAGAAGGTGAGATTGCCGGGAGACAGTTGCAGAACGGAAGTGGGGCTTGTGGCTTGGGCTCAGAGCCCGGAACTGACACCGGTAGAGCTGTGTGACTCCATCTCTCTCTCTCTTGCTGAAAATAGAAACTGCATTCAATTAAATCAGGGACCTTTTCTGGTTGAAACCTGTCTGCATGTGACCACAGTACATTATCACGGTCTTTGTTCCTATAACAATAATGGGGAATGCTTTTTTCGGAGCTTACTCTTGCTAGCCACTTGCTAGATGCTCTGTGGGTATTACTTTGTTGGATTTCCACAACAATCCATTTCACAGGCAAGGAAATCGAGGCTTGGCAGTGTGAAATAACTTACTCAGACCTCCTTGTGACTGAGTCCTGAGACCAAATTTTCCCTTTTTGTGCCATTTAAATGTTTGAGGATAAAACTGGATCTGGCCTGGCCAGCATGGCTCAGTGGTTGAGCACCCACCTATGAACCAGTAGGTCACAGTTTGATTCCCAGTCAGGGCACATGCCCGGGTTGTGGGCTCGATCCCAACGCGGGGCGTGCAGGAGGCAGCCAGTCGATGATTCTCTCTCATCATTGATGTCTCTCTCTCTCTCTCCCTCTCCCTCTCTCAAATCAATAAAAATATACATATATTTAAAAAGTGGCCCTGGTTTCTCTTGCTCCCTCTCCTTCAGACATTTATTGGACGTTTTCGCCGCATCATGGACTCCTCCCAGAATGCGTACAATGAAGACACTTCATCACTGGTCGCCCGGCTGGACGAGATGGAGAGGGGCTTATTCCAAATGGGGCAGAGAGGCCTGAACGACTTTCAGTGTTGGGAGAAGGGGCAGGCTTCTCAGATCACAGCGTCCAACCTGGTTCAGAACTACAAGAAGAGAAAGTTCACCGACACGGAAAACTGAAGGCCGCGGACAGCATCGCCCCTCGTAGACTCGTCCCTGTGTGGCCTTGCGAAGAGCCTGGTCGGCCCTGGAAAGGGCCAGCCTTGACATGGCTTGTTCCCTGCAGCTGTCTCGGGAGTGGTGTCATGCGGTTGGGATAGGACGTGCTGGAGGATGTCCCTGGCCCCGGAAGTCTTCCAGGACTGTCCCACCCTGCTGACCCCAGCCCAGGCCTCCCTCGCCCAAGAAGCTATAGCTGAGGAGCCATCAAAGTCCTTTATCCATAAAGATCGGAAGACATAGGTTGCAGTAGAGTTGGAACTGGAGTTCCTGGTGCCTGGGAGGGACTTGACGGCCTGAGATGTCCACCTCCCCTTGCTCAGAGTCTGTTCACGGAATGTTCTCTCGCGCGGAATTGCTTCATCTTCCTGGTTGTGCAAAGGGCAGCGCCCCCAGGATGCTGGACGTGTAAATATCTCTTGCCCCCTGCCTGTGGGGAGTTACCCCAATTTCCAGAAACAGCCATGAAGAAAGAAGGATGCCCAGCCAATGTGGCTCAGTGGTTGAGCATTGACCTATGAACCAGGAGATCGCAGTTCGATTCCTGGTCAGGACACATGCCCGGGTTTCAGGCTCAGTCCCCAGTAGGGGGCAGCGTGCAGGAGGCAGATAATCAATGATTCTCATCATTGATCTTTCTCTCCCTCCATCTCCCTCTCTGAAATCAATAAAAAAATATATTTTTAAAAAGAATAAGGAAGGGAAAGGCAGGCGAATGGCACGGATTTTACTAAAGAGGAGACGGTGCTACCTCCTCTGTGACCAGGAATTCGCGGAATTCTGCAGCCGTCCTAGAGGGGAAGTGTTGCACTGAGCTTGTTTTTGTCTCAGACCTTCACAGCATCTCAGTGCTGTCAGTGGTCCAGTTGCAACGTAGTTACCAACCGGTGCGAACCAGCCCTTATTTGGTGAAGTCAGGACTTGGGGTTGCTTCTCCTTTTGGAGAAGCATAATTCACAGGCACCTGTCAGTGGGCAAGAGGCCGTGGGTATGTGTTTCCTTTAGTCCATTTTGTACATCTTTACATGGAGGCTTCCTGACCAGTTACTGAGAATCTAAGCAAACACAGAACTTCCCCTGGAGGTCAGGCGGGCACCTGAGCAGGAGACGGCATACCTGGGGCCGCCGGCCTGTTTGAAGGGCAGTGGTCTCCACACCACTGCCCCCCACAACCAGGGAAAATGGCCTTTGTCGCTGGAAACGAGGAATTTGGGCATCCAGACTGCAGATGCCTCAGTGCCAACTTAGAATGTCAGGAGGGCTTTTGAAATGCCTGTTTTAAGATGGAACCCGTGTTTTTATCGTTTGATTTCGGTGCTAAATAAACGACCCGCTTTGCACTTGGATACAGTCTGTGCGAGTCCTTCAGCTGATGCGGCAGAGCCATCCCAGACTTCTGTCTTTGATCGTGTTTGACGATAAAGCCCAAAGAAAGCCATGTTTTAGGAGCTGCTCTTTTGTTTGCATGCTGTTCGTAAATAGGAGTGACAGTCTGTAGGGAAGTGCTGTGTCCTACAAAGGTGGGACTTCCATGGCGACCACGGCGTTTTTTAAGCATATTGATTGATTTTAGAGAGAACAAGGGGGCGGGGGGGGAGGAGAGAAACATTGAGTTGTCCCTGCCGAGCAGCCTCCCCGAGGTCGTGAGCATTCCTCCTGTGATGTCGCTGGGGATGGGGTCTAAAGGACGGTGCAGACGAGGCTCCCCCAGAAGCCAGAGGCCTCCCATCTGCCTGCTTTTCAGAGGGCAAAGTCAAGTCCACTACAAGGAGCATCATTTCATTAAACTTTATTTGAAAATAATTTTAGATTTCTGGGACAGTTAGTTGTAAAGACAGTACAAGGCGTTCCCATATACCCCTCCCCGGCTTTTGTCCGGGCTTCAAACAGTTCACCAACCACAGACTTTATTCGGATTTCACCAGATTTCACCCTGGCGTCCTTTTCCTGTTTCAGGATCCAATCCGGCGTTGCATTTAGGGGGCAATCGTTTTTTTTGTTTGTTTGTTTGTTTTTAATATATTTCATTGATTTTTTACAGAGAGGAAGGGAGAGAGATAGAGAGCTAGAAACATTGATGAGAGAGAAACATCGATCAGCTGCCTCCTGCACATCTCCCACTGGGGATGTGCCCGCAACCAAGGCACATGCCCTTGACCGGAATCGAACCCGGGACCCTTCAGTCCGCAGGCTGACGCTCCATCCACTGAGCCAAACCGGTTTCGGCGGCAATCGTTTTTTAAAGCAAAGCAGAGCGTCAGACTCTTCCCTGCGTTAACTTCAGAAGTTAAGCTTATCCTGGCTGGCCTGGCTCCGTGGTTGAGCATCTACCTATGAACCAGGAGGTCACGGTTCGATTCCCAGTCAGGGCACTTGCCTGGGTTTCTGGCTTGATCCCCAATGGGGGGCGTGCAGGAGGCAGCCAATCAATGATTCTCATCGATGTTTCTATCTCCCTCTCTGAAATAAAATATATATAAATATATATTATTATTATTTTTAAGAAGTTGAGCTTATCGGAAAGGATTCCCTGCATAGGGTTGGGTAACGGGCTGACTAGGGGCCTCTTTGGCCTCCCCAGGAGCAAGCTGCTGCTAAGCTCAAGGAGGGAAAGAATATTTGCATTTCCCCTGAAAATGAAACTTTCCCCCCAGTACTTGCATCTGATGGAGAAGGGCCTCTGATTTGCCTTAAAATTTTCAGCATTCTCTCTCTCTGATAGCAGCCCCTTGATCTCCTCCCCTTTCCCATCTGGCACATCCCAGCTAATTCTCCTGGTGTCTAAATGAGTTTCAAATGAGCACGCTTTCTACGCCAACGTTATTAACAAGTGTCAGCGCAGCTCCGAAAATAGCGCCTGGGAACTGCTAACGTTTCCGACGAAGCCGAAGCCGCAAAGAGAACACACAGAACCAGAGGCTCCTTGCCCACCTCTGGCCAATTAAAACCAAAAAAAGCCCCGAGCTTTAGATCTTGGTGATGTTTTCTGCTCCCTCTCGCCCTTGAAGAGAGAAGTTTATGTGGCTCCCACGCGACTCGCGTGGCTCCCCTTTTGCAAGTAAAGTTCATTCCCTGCAGCCAGCGTGTGACTTTTTTTTTTGGATGCAGAAAAGCAAATGAACAGCGAAGGAGTATATTCCACTGCAACAGGGAGAGAAGAATGCTATGACTCAGTGAAGGAAAAGTGTGGTGAGTCCAGGCGGCGAGGCTCAGTGGTTGAGCGGCGACCTATGAATCAGGAGGTCACGGTTCGATTCCCAGTCAGGGCACATGCCCGGGTTGTGGGCTCGATCCCCAGTGTGGGGCGTGCAGGAGGCAGCCGATGGATGATTCTCTCTCACCATTGATGTTTCTATCTCCTTCTTCCTTCCTCTCTGAAATCAATATATATATATTTTTATTTTTAAATATATTTTGTTGATTTTTTTACAGAGAGGAGGGGAGAGGGATAGAGAGTTAGAAACATCGATGAGAGAGAAACATCTATCAGCTGCCTCCTGCACACCCCCTACGGGGGATGTGCCCGCAACCAAGGTACATGCCCTTGACCAGAATCAAACCTGGGACCCTTCAGTCTGCAGGCCTGTGCTCTAGCCACTGAGTCAAACCAGTTAGGGCTATTTTTTTTTTAAGTGTGGCAAGAGTGCATCTCAATGCCCCAAGAAAGACTGGAGACAGATGCCAGTATTGAAGCCAACACTGCCAGACTCACAGGAGGGACAGACACCGCAGTTGTTCCCGGAGAGTGGCCTTATCTTAATGGAACAAGAGGACTTGGCACTTGGCTGTCTCTCAGGTTCAGGACTGAAACATTTTAAAAACTTCTCAAAGGACACTGTCATTTTCTAATTTAGCATTTCATGCCCATGCACTCACTGCTTTAGCCAAGATTCCAGGTAAATATTAAGTAATGTGCTCCTTTTTTTTTTAATGTACATATTTTTTAATTGCTTTTTTTAAAGCCTGGCTGGTGTGGCTCAATGGTTAAGCATCAATCCATGAACCATTCGATTCCCAGTCAGGGCTCCGTCCCCAACAGGGGACAGTTGTTTAATGATTCTCTCTCATCACTGATGTTTTTGTTCTCCCTCTCCCTTCCTCTCTCTGAAATCAATAAAAACATTTAAAACGGGAGAGAGGGAGAAATATTCATCGGTTGCTTCCTGCACACACCCTGACGGGGGATCAAACCTGAAACCTGGGTATGTGCCCTGATTGAGATTCAAACCCACCACAGTTTGGTGCACGGGAGGATGCTCCAACCCACTGAGCCACACCGGCCAGGCACTGTGCTTCTTTTCAAAGACCTGAGCAGTCCAGGAAGCGTTTTCTCAGATTTGGAGCCCGCTCAGGCCTTGGGCACATTTCAGAGGGTGCTACTCGCTGAATGTCTAGATCATTTCAGAGATTCTTAGGAGGAGCACACTGTCGGACAGGAAGCATCGTGTCCGGTATGGCCCGCAGTGAAAACCAATTTCCAATGTCAAAGGCCATTTTAAAAGAGATCAATAAAGATGGAGAAACCCTCCCTCTGTTGTGAAAGACTGTTATTTCCGCAGGCGGCTGTGATTTTGAAAGGCTTTTCTGCCAATAAAACCAGTCATAGGAGAAAAATGTGCCTTGGGTGGTTGTGTGTGGAGAGAGCCGCGTTTGGCCGAGCTCAGTGGAGGTGCGCGTATGGCCTTGCTCAGTCACAGCCCACGTCCCCCGCCTCCCGGGTGTCCTCACGCGATGCGACAGGGTCCCCGGGGACTCCGTTGCCGAACAAATCTCCGGAAAGCGGTCACGTCCTCAGGCCCCAGGGATGGACATGGGCTCTGGAAGCCAGAGCGAGAGAACTGGTTTGGGGGTGACTGCTTGACAGTATTCTCTGTGGGGCCCCATCACTTAGCGCTAGCACCTCTGTTTCCTTCTAGAAACGTCGATGCCCATGTCTGCCTGACTTGGGCCAAAGCGCAGGAGGGCGCAGGCCCACCGGCTCTCCCAGTCCTGGGAGCTGGCTCAGCCTCAGCTCAGCCCAGCTTCCTCCTGTCCGAGATCTTTCTCTGTGCCTCCCCTCCCGCCCTTTTTCGTGGCCCCCCCCCCCCCGGCCCCGCCCGCCTCCTCCGGGTTATGTGCCCAGAATTTGTTTTGAAGGCCTCAAAGGCAGTGACTGGCCTGCTCCTTCAGATTCTTCCCAAATAAGCAGATGACGGAGTTTCTTATCAGAGCTCCCTAAGCTGGTAGCCGCCGCAATAGGTTACTAGCGGCGGTTCTCAACCTGTGGGTCGCGACCCCTTTGGCGGTCGAACGACCCTTTCACGGGGGTCGCCTAAGACCATCCTGCATATCAGATATTTACATGACGATTCGTAACAGTAGCAACAGTACAGTGATGAAGTAGCAACGAAAATAATGTTATGGTTGGGTCACAACATGAGGAACTGCATTTAAAGGGCCAGAAGGTTGAGAACCACTGGCTTAGAGCCTGTTTACAAAAGCTTTTCATCCCGTTGTATGGAATCCACGTGAAATGTAACACATCTTGAGATTATGAAGTGTGGTAATAGCATGACCGCCCATGAGCTTCCGTTGGTTTAAGTGCTGGAACACAGGCAATGCTTCTGTGTAGCTCCTGCCAGGCCCCCTCTCCTAGACTTTGCGTTTCTTTCCCCGTTGCTCTGCCTACCTAATGTGTGTATATTATTTTGATTAGCTTTTGTGCATCTTTTTTTTTAAGTATAGTTTTTATTGATTTCTGAAAGGAAGGGAGAGGGAGAGAGAGAGAAACATCAACGATGAGAGAGCATCATTGATTGGCTACCTTCCGCACCCCCCCCACCCCCCCCCACTGGGGATGGAGCCGGAATAGGAGCATGTGCCCTGACTGGGAATTGAACCGTGACCTCCTGGTTGATAGGTCGAAGCTGAACCGCTGAGCCACACCGGCCGGGCTGGGCTTCTTTCGCTTGGTTTTACGTTGTGACTTTCGGCAATGCTACTGCAGTTTGTTTTTATTGCTGAGGGATAATCTATGGTGGGAACATGGCGCAGTTTCAGGAGCATTCTCTTATCACTGGGCATTGGGTTCGTTTCCAATCTTTTATTTTTCTATTACACAGGGTGGGGAAAAAGTAGGGTACGCTTTTTACCACAATTCAGAAAAGTTTTTAAAAAGGTGAAGTGCTCTAGCTACAATAGCTATCGTTCATGGAGCACTTACTCTGTGCCAGGCACCGTGGTCCCGACCTCATAGGCAGTACCTCGTCTACTCTTCACAGCAACCCTGAGATAAATCCCTACTTTGCCTCCTTTTCCTGAGAAAGACAGGCTCGGTGAGGGTAAGTAACTGCTAAAGCAAGCGCCG